TTACTTCCGCGTTGCTATATTTAACTCGTTGATGGTTATTGGCTCCTATAGATGCTCGACAAAATTGCTCGCCGTATGCTCCGTGTATCTATAGGGTAAAATACTAGTTACAGATTAGATTTACAAAAATTACAGGTCTCCCTTTGTAGTAAAAAATCTTAAAGAACACCTTTTCTTTATTTCTTTAGTTCCATTAGTTTTAACCGAAACAAAAATTAATTTCACATTAGTTACTATATAGCAACTATTTTTATTGAAACTAAATAAAACTTCGTGTAGTTTGGATGAAGATAGTAGAAGTTACACTCACAAACACACAGATATTGAGTTTCATATAAATACAAAGTGTACTACTTTCTTATATGAAACGTCACATGATTAGTAGCAATGGAACACAATATTTCTAATTGTCGATATATTTATTTCAGCAAACACTAAACACAGTCTCAAAATGTTGTGACCATAACGTCGTTGATGTAAGGTTGCATTGGTTACTTCAGATAGACACACCCAGGTGTTGTAACCGGACAATAATTCATAACTAGGTAGATATATATAACGGGCAATTTACCCTAGGGCTTAGTTGATCAGTTGATTACCACGCGACATGCGATGAATACCTATGAACAACCAGCAAAAATTTATGCTCAACGCGTGAAAAACTTTCCCTCGACGACTACTGCTCCGAGCTAATTTCACACAGTATGGATTTACTGCCCGATTACCAGTAGTATTAAAGTTAACTCTCAAGCCAGATAATCGATATAAAATTCAAAATCTATGTGTCTATAATTTCTCCATAACTCTTTATTGATTTGTGTTTGAATACAATTTTTATTCCATACTACAATAATCGAATAAAGATATCTTTGTTCCAACCTGATTTTTTAAATTTATCTTTATCGTGGCTGTTTCTTATTGTTTTGCTAGAACGTTAAACGCCGACTGAAATACCCACGCGATCGTAGATACCGAACTGGTTTCAATACGCGCGGAATATTCTCTCGAACCGAACGAGATATATTCTCGTCAAAGTCGAAATTTAATTCCGCGAAAACATGAAACTCGATTTCTTCGCGTCTGTCACGCGTAATTATCTTGGCGGTCATAAACTTGCAACATATCCTTGTTCGCACCTATGAATCATGAATAACCGGAAGAGAAGAGCCCTACATGCAACCGGGAGAAATACGATCGAGTCCAGTTTCTCAAATTATCTTCCGTAGAAACATCGTTTCGCGAAACAATTCGTGTTTACTGCCGTGTATCTAATTATCACGGTAATTTGCTTGCATTCGAAGAAACTTGATCTTGCAACTACGTGAAATTACTCGAACATGCGAGCAGAGAATTATCTTTCGTAAAATTGTTCTCGTTATGATTCGGAGTTTCAGCGTTCGAGAAATGTGTGAAAGTCGTCCAATTAAATTGACATTAAACCGATTCGCCATTTTGTAATTAGGTAGAGGGATTGTACCAACGACGAGTTCCAAAAATACCACATTTTTTGCACAAATATCGAATAAAAATCGAATATTTCTGACATAATAAAAGAAAAATCAATTTAACTTGGATGCCATTCGATCACCAACGACTGTCCTGTATTTTATTATTCCGAGCAATGTAGTATCTCGAAAATGGTGAATTTAATTTTCTTATTTATAGTCGAGATGGTCGCGACTAATTCACCGTGAAAGCAATTTTAGTTCGCTTTAATTAACTCATCAAAAAAGATTACAATCTTGTCCGCCGTATTTGTAAATGCTTAATTATTGTCTTGCTCGCTTTGGCTAGTACCAGTTTCGTGATTTCATTTCTTTGGTACGAAAGAAAAGTTTCCCATATGAAATATTAAACTGAAACGAAACTTATGATTAGTGTAGGTAATAATCGTATCGGTATCGTAGCCGAGCAATTTGCAAGTAAATAAGAACAGCGAAAAAAGCCTGCCGGACGGGTCCAATTAGAAAATTATTGACACTACACGTTTAAACAACTAATGTAATGACTCGGTGTATGTACGTATCGTACTAGTATATTTTAATGATAAAAGTACGTTATAAATATATAATTAGTTGTTCTTAATGATCGTCTCTGCGTTTGTTTATCGCGCCAGTCGCGCAAGAGTCCGTGGAATCCTGTATCTTTGCGGCTCCGTATCTCCGAACGAAAAACATTCCTTTGGCTTACGCCGAAGGAAATCGATATCCCAGATCAGGATTAAGATATGCGAACAAGAATCAAAGCATAATATACGTTTGTTTAAAAATTGCGAGTGTTTAAGAAACCCGTATCGCGACCGTGCGATCCGAATGGAACGATCACTCTGAATACAGAGTGAAAATTTAAGCAAAACATCCAGTGGATTTTCTAATCGAACGTCCATGCTTAGAGAAGAAAATGCTAAGAAAAATGTTTGGAATCGATGAAACAAACTAATTCGATATTTTTAGAACTCAACTTCTACGAATAAATAAAATACTTCACCGCTAATTGTTAATTGCGCGCTGCTACAATTGCAGTATATCTTTCTACACGCATGTAAGGACTAATTCAATTTATGAACGATAAATTTCAGCGCCTGCTTAGAAGGATATTACGTGTCGTCGTATTAAGAACACGGGTTTTATTAGGTATCTGTAACTCATAAATTGTAATAAATTAACACTTTGACAATATTTCGAATCAAGAATCGAAAGACCCGCAATAGACCACCAAATTCTATTATTTTATTAAAATGTCCAAATAACTCTCCTATCTAGCGCCAAGCTCACGAAATATTTCGCTAAAAACTTGGGCGTTTTATCGCAGAGAGCACTGACCATAAGTTCAAGTTCCCAAATTATTACAAAGTTTTTCGTATTGAAATAACAGAAATCGTAGCTCGTATTTTTGCGAATTAAGTGGCCTATGCTTTCCATCGAAGCGTAAAGAACACCTAAAAAGAATATCATCGCGATTCGACGAAGATAGCAGGAGTCGTAAGGAAATCACAAACACACAGATTCTGAATTTTCGTATCGATAACTTTTTCGTTGGGTATAATAATCAGCTCGAGCCTATCTCGGGGGGCAATATCTCCAGCCCCTCGAAAGATGCTGAGCCCGATTCCAGGCTTTGATCGGCTGTCGCGAAGTTGCTCTTAATTGCGCGTATGCTCGCGCGACGGTCTCTCGCTGGTCGGAATTAATGAACGCGGCGACGTATGTCCGCCGTTTTCACAGCGGTGCTCGTAAACGGGCTTAACCGCGGGCACGAGCGTCGTAAAACACGAAGACACGTGGCAGGAAACACGGCGGTGACAAGCAAAGAAATGGATTGGCCGCTTTAATCATCGAACCCGGTCAGTTTCGTCCCCGGGTATCTTCCCTCTGACAAACAGTTTCGCGGGAACACGGGAACGTCCTGTCCCGTTATCGGGACGAAGGATCAGCTGGTAGGACTAGGAGTGAATTTATCGAGCGCGTGAAAGTCTCTTACGCAAGACGAAGAGACCACGGGTGCCGTCCCGAGATTACCCGGGAATAGTATGACGGGTATATTTTACCGACTGGCCCAGGACCGCTTTATTTCCGAGAAACGCTTTGCCGCTAATTGCGAACCCGCTTTTCCAGATGCATGAAAACAGCGATTTAGACGCGACAAAGCCCAATTTTTTACCATCTTCAATCATTCTACTTTAGTAACTTTGTAAATCCTTGGGGATCTTCGTTTGAAACGTCCTTTATCCCTAGAAATTGTTTAAATAGGTGATGACTTTCGAGAATTTTTTTCAGACAAACAACACAAGTAAATCAATTTGTTGCTTAGTATAGTTAATGTATGATCAATTTAAACCCATCGTTGAAATCGTCTAACGTTGACGCTGATTAGATAGACTATGGTGACACTTCTCACACTCGCCAGCAGAGGGCCACGATCTCTCACAAGTACTCGACCGATTGACTCCACTTCTCCATATGGTTTATCTGAAACAAACAAATATAAAAATATTAGATTAAGTAAAAACTCCCGGGTAGCGGTCTTTTACGAAAATTATTAAATACTGCCAATATTTATACAGAACTTACTTGATCAGTGATATAACTTTCGTACTATGATCTTACTTTACAATAAAACTTCCACCGCTTTATTTGTTCACTAACCCAGATACGCGTGTATATTGATCTCTTCGATGTTTGAACTATAGCAAGCTCTCACATATACACACACACACGCGAGGTATAAGTCCGATCGGCAACGCGCGTTCTGGTTATCATTTGATGAGTCTCCGGGTCGATTGGAAAATAATCGAAAACGAGGACGAAGTTTGTTGCGATTGAGGCAAAGAGCTAGACCAGTTCGTTTCATCCAAGACCACGGTTCGTTTCTCTAGACACTCCTGCGGTGCACCGACGATATTTATAAAGCAAACTTCACGGTGCAAAGACCTCGCCAAGTGTACGAAGCGAGCCGTAAGTTTAGGCCAAGCCCTTAACTCCTTCGGCACATCGTGCGGTTTTCATAATAAACTACTTCCAGCGTTGCTCGATCTTCATTATTTTTATGGCGCCGCGGAGCCACGACATTTCTCGTGATTTCCAGGCCACTTCGACCGGAACGTCAGCTACGAACGGTTTAGGCCTACTCCAGACGAGGCACTCGCGGAGGAACATCCGCGAAGTGTCCGTCGCCAATTTTTGACGAAACTTTGCGGGTTTGCGGAGCAGCCAAATATAAGGAACTCGTGTTTCTTTTTCGCCGAGGAAACTCGAGTTTAAAGGGCGAAACCACCCTCGTAACGTTCGCCCCTTTAATGCCATCTTGAGAGCTATTGGAGATACGGGGATGTTTTTTTCAAACAGATTCTTCGTTAATTATTTTTTATTTAACGCAAGACTGCTCAAAGAGGCGAGCTGCGGTTGATAAACACTGCATTTATCAGAATCTTAAATATCGTGCACAACGTATACAGTTTTAACTAAAACAAACAAAATTATTTAAAAACAGCATCCCTTGCATTTCAAATTAATTTAAAAAATTTGATATCCTATTTATTATTAACACGGCTTTATTACGTTTATCACATCGCATAAAAAGAAAGAAATTAAAAATAAAAAGAAGAGATAGAGAGAAAAATCGTAATGAAATGTAACCCTCGAGTTTTATATTGTATATGTACAGGACAAAATCGTGTGCACATATAATAAAATTCTCTCGGTGAACGTCGCTGAGATTTTTTTTTACAGGATTCAAAATATTTGATTCAGGTTTTAATTGTATAACTTATTACATAAATATAAATTTACAATTACAGAATTCCATGATTTTCCTTTTTATGGAAACTTGTACAGCGGTTGTACAGGCGCTCCCTGTACAAATAATTTTACAGTTCGTTTTCATACTAAAAGGTTGCTTTTTACCTTATAAATTGCCAAGTTTATAATGTTTCGCCGGAGGAAGGAATAAAACAGTCCAATTTATATCTAAAGCGTTACAGTAAGCATGCAAGTATATTTTCATACGAGTCTCGATATCGCGTAGCCTAATCAAAATTTAATAGCTATGTTTCAACCCTCGAAAAAGTGAAAAATTTAATTACCTCCATATAATCGAGCTCATTTGCAAGCTCGATAACGAGTATACATGAAGAACTACAGTTCTCAAACATCTTTTCGTCGCTCAAGTCAAACAATCACTAAATCTACTTTAGTGTAAATCTACGTTAAAAAATTTTGTACTCGTATGATTTTCCAATAACTGACTTCATTAAAATCGTACATCGTTCGATCATCAGTCAAAATAAATAATAAAACTTGAAAGGTCGTTTCAAAACAATATTGTGCTTCCAATTGGAATTCCACAATAATTTTAATTTTCAAGAAAATGCATGGAAAGAAATTATTCTGTATGCCTCGGAATTGGATAGATCCCTAACATCGGACTTGCACAATTTCTACATCGTACAAGAAACGTAGATTCTTTGTTGTAAAAATATTGACGCGTGTTCGGGGAGCCACGAATGTACAAGAAATCTATTCGTAACATAGACACGAATCTAATCAGTCAACAAACGTGTTTGAAGTATTGTTCAATAGTAAATAGTGTGAGACGTGTCGATATTATCAAATTAAAATCCTGTTATACACGTGTTCTTTCCCTTTCTATCAAAACGTCAAGTTTTCTTAATTATTCTTAACTATGCTTGTATCACTTTGTACTAACTTCAACGACTCGTTCCGAACGCACGATCGACGATCGGAATAAATAACACTCTTATTGATTAAAAACTTATAACGATCGTTCCCTGGTTGCCACCATTCGTGAGTATCATTTTTAACGAAACATAACGCAACGAACGTTCACGGCGTGATTATTGCGTTTGATCGGTTATTTCTTTGTAACGCTGCTGAGTCTTTCGCCACAGTGCTTGCTTCTTTTCCGTCGTAGAATCTACTTCGATCGTAGGAAATTCGCTTGTTGCTCCGAGACCGGTTTTGCTGGGATTACTCGTCATCGATATCTGAAACAGAAGCACAAACAAACGCGAACTTTATCGAGTTCTCCTTCAATTTTCATTTTATTCGCTGCGAATAAACATCTTTCGCGTTCAAAAATCCACTAATGAATCGTTCCTCGAGTATAAAACAACCTGTCTAAAAAGAAAGGAGAAAATACGCGTGTAGAAAAGAAAAAGGTTATTTTAAATTAAAAGAGAAAAATACCGTCTTCGTTTAAATTATAGAGGCGAATCCTGTTTGTTCGATTTGATCGTATTGTTTGCGTCCCGATCGATTCTTCGACGTCCCCGGGCGAAATGAATGCAAGAAACATGGCGCAGGTCGGACGAGGAAGCGAAACGTTATTCGGCGGCCGCTCTTATCGGGAGAGGGTTATTTTAAGTTTTGAGTCGCATCCACTGGGCAGAATACCCTCTCCCGGGCGTATTTGGGCCAAGTGGCCTCCCCCGTCTGGCTTGTAAATGAGGCCCTATCTGGCCGTCGTCGACACTTGACTTACTTGGTTGAAAGGGAAAAAGACGAAAAGGAGAGAATGGAAAGAGCGTAAAAAGGAAACAAGAGGAAAGGATTTCGTGCGGGAACGCGAAAACAAGGTCCCGATCTAGCTGGAGATAGACGCCTCGAGAAAGCTACTTTTATTATACGCGACCACGAATTAAAATTAATATATAAAACCCTGACACCAAAATATATAATACATCTTACATTGTACGGTCACTTTTAACGTTAAAAACAAGCTTCGGGATTTAACGATACTCTAAATAAATCAAGGAATTAAATTTGCAATTTACGAGAAGATAATCAGAACATCGTTTGCGATGGCCACCTATGGGCGTTCATGTTGCATGTAATTGATAAACGCGACCAAATCTTATAATTTTTCAATCGTCGTATTAAATTCTCGATGTTTTAAATATTGAATCGATGTCTTTCTTGAACAGTAATTATTCGGTTGAATTGTTAAAAAGTCGCGAAAATTGCAGGAACATCTACGTGATTCAATATATAACCCGTTAAATGTTATCAGAAATTTTTCTCGACTCGCGGAGGGTCGAGCGCCTCAGAAAATCTTGAGATACGCTTTATAACGGTCCTTTGCTCGCTTTTTACGCCTTGAGAGAGCCTCCTTTGAAATTTTTAAGTGGCTGCAGAATGCAACACTGCGAATAGTTTTCAGGCCTTAATTGAGCCAAGTGTTCTTACTTTTGCCTACGTTGAATTCGTCAGACTGCGGGAACAGCGCATTAAAGAAACAGAAAGCTAAGAAACCGACGAAATATAATAATAAACGTAGTTCTAATACAGCGACCAGCGCTTCTTAGAATAACTGGGATTATTAATAATCGTTTTTCTTTTTTTAATTTGTCAAGCGTAAATCCGACGAAGGAAAAATGTTGTATGGTTCGCGAGCGTTTCGAACGATCTACGTGGAAATCGCGGATAATATTGTTTTCGATCGTGAAACGCAATGGCGCCTGATCGCCGAAAGGCTGCGTCTTTCGTCGGTCGCGCTTCTTCCCGGCGTAAGAAGAAGGAACAATGGGGCGGAGGATCGACGAAAGAGAGCAGCCGAGGAAGAAAGACGAGAACGGATCATGATCGAGCGACAGACGCGTTATCGTGCGCGTAAAATGAGCGCTCGTTACCCGATTGACGAGCTCGCGAGACGTTCAGGAGCAAAACGGCTCGACTCGAGTTTCGCTTTCTCGCTCGACGATGATGGCGATGATGATGCATCCGTCTGGGCTGTCTAGACCACTTGTATATATTATAACTGGCGCTCGCTCGTCTGTTTTCTTCTATCCACCCTCTCTCTCTCTTGCTCCGCTGGCCGAACGGACCTCGCGAATATATTTTACCCGATTTATGTCACGAAAATGATTAATCTCCCGGACGGAACGTTACCTCGAATAGAATTACTAGGTTGCTGCATACGAAACGCCATTTCGACGAAGTTGGAATATTTGCGGTACAAACGGGGGTCGATTGTTATACAACAGGTACGTCGAAACTTGTTTCCATTCGGAGACCAATCCATAGTTTTTTTTTTTTTTTTTGGAACACCCGTACAATTATTAATATTGCGCTGTCGATAGAGATGTCACGATGTTCGACTGTTCCTAGTGAAACGTACAGGGCGTTACGTTATGCTACAATCGACGAGGGGGTGGTTTATCGCGAGAAAACAAGTCGAAAAGAGAGAATAAAATCATCTCGTACCAGGCAAGTTGCAGGTTATAGTGTTCGAGTTGAACGACAGTATAAGTAGAAACAGCGAGTAATGAACAGACGCAACAGCCAAATCGTACTCGATCGTAAACAGCATTGTTTTCGAATACGAAACATTACGAAAAATTCGAACCGGTTTGATCGTTGATTAGCAATTAAAAAATTTGTAAATTGCTTGTAATAATTTTTATAACTTTTCCAAAGTCTCTTCAAGGAACTATAAAATTTTCTCGAGTCACGGTAAAGCGTGGTTCGTTTCTCGTAAAAACGCTGTTCGTCGAGAGGACAAAATGCAGTCAGTGATATATTTAGTCCATCCACCTCCGATCGGAATGCGCTCCATTGCGTCTAATAGAGGTTTGCAAACATTGATTGGCTTGATCCAATCTTTTAAAGAGACGGTACGTGGGCCATCGACCGTCAGGGTCTAAACTTATCACAGCTGCTCGCGATGGACAGATGGTCGAGACAATGATACCCCGGATTACTTATTAAAAACGGATTAAAAGTGTCTGTGAGACGATCGCGCGGCGTACCTACTTGTTATCTTATATACGATGCAGACAGATATAAATCGATGGCTGAACCGATGGAGCTTCATAATGCGAAACACAGACGTCCAAGTCGACCGTGGAACCTCCCGATCATTGAATTATTTCCATCGCGTCTGATCGATGGCCACTCGAATGTTGCGACCCAGATATCGTGGCTTGTTTTATGACAAAATTTTCTGCTTTCTAAATTCGAGCCAGGTCGCGGCAATGTTAGCCACTGGGTTATAAATAATTTAATTCCACTGAATAAACCGGGATTTCGAAGTCTGACATAATTGTCACTTTGCAATTTTATTGACAAAAGAATACCGAGTGATTCTAGGAGCTCTTCGATCGTTAAATAAGATTATTAGTACAAATTGATTAGTTTCTCCTCGATCTTAGTAAAAAAAAAAGAAGAAATTTAAATTAAATGATGTGCAGGTAACTTGTTGGAAATGGTAATACATTCTCAGGTACGAAACGATCGCGGACTAAAAGTCTTATTCGCGCTTAGGGGGGCGTGGACTGTGCAAAAGCACGCCACTCCGAGGTCGCGAAAGTGGCCATAAAAGGAACAATAAACCGTCGAACCGCCGCGGCGAGAAAAGGCGAAAACCGATGTTCGATGCCAAGGCGGGAACTAAAAGGGTGGAAAATAGGCAAATAGGCCAAGCTGCATGGATGAACGACACGGGCAAGCCGAGGCAATGCACCGTGATTACCAATTAGACGATGCAAACTGGTCGCCGGCGACTGCAGTGTCTACGACCTCGTACCTATTTCATATTTGCATCCTATTGTTCTCTCGTTTCTTTCATATTCTGATTTCGTTTCTCTCCGACCCAAGCCCATTTAGTCCCGACAGACGTGTACTTCTTAACATCAGATCCTCGCTTTTGATGGTCAAGTGCGCATAAATTTGGATTTTCAAAGTTGTGTTTACTACGATCTCATTTTTTTCTGAACAGTCAAAAAATTATTAAAACGGTGTTCTGTGTAGTGTAGAAATTGTCTCCAAATTATAGAACTTGTAAAAACGATAGAAATTGGGCTACTTTGGACCCTGTCTGGAAACGAAAGATTTTTACGAGACACGTTTCGTTAATAAAACTCCTTAAGTGTTGTAGGCTGTTGCATTTATGGGAAATTTTAATTCTCAAAAGAGTACAGAATGCTCTTGATATGCAAAAATATAAGAAATACAAATTATTATATTTAGGGGTTGAGATAACCCTCTACAAAGCTCTCATTTCATTGATGCTATTAATAAAAATATTATTATATAGCATTCCATATTATAAGCACTGTGAGCCTAATATGGAAAATGGAGACCTCAATAAAAAAAGTAAACATTTCCTAAAATTTACTGTTACCAGTCAAAAGAGCATAAAATTTCCTATAAATCGATACTATTTAAGTTTTTATAAAAATTCTACAAGCAATTGAAACGTGTGTATAAAAAACAGTATTCCATATTAGGGCAACTGACCCTATTAAGGGTAGTAAGCGTTGACAAGTTGAAAGATACACCTTCCGCGTACTACCTTGATTCTCACTCGAGATTGATTGTTTTTGTCGCGAACGAATTCTGGCCCAGTGTGTCTCCCCTGGTGCACGTGTGCACCTATTGAACTTTCGGGTTGTTCGATAGAGGAATGAAATTCCCGGGTCGAGAGAGCCTCCCCCAGACGCCGCAGTCGGTCGTTCGATGCCGGTCGTCGGCATCCAGATAAAACGGTGCCGTGGTACAATAACATATTGAGAATTCGCGGGTTCGCCGCGACGGTAGGTGGTAGGGTGCCAGACGGTCTGTGCCAGTTCGAAAGTTTGTCCCGGTTTGCCTGTCTGGCATGCCGGGAAGCGATGCGCGGACGCACGTGCACCGCACCTTAACAGGTTGAATATGGGCTCCGGTGAGCCCGGAGACAGCATATTGGGTTTGAAACTTTGCTCGTTTACAACGTCGCCACTATGTCTGCCACCGCCGTCGACGTACCCGGCGAAATAAACGTCGCGCTTCCTCTGTCTCGGCGCGATTTTCCCGCTTATTCCTTCGACGCCTCCGTCCGTCATCGCTTTTCCCGTCCTGACGCTCCACCACCGACGCGTTTCACCCACGAAACACCGTATTTCGCGCGAGGATCGTGCCTCCGTGTCGAACCACTTCTCAACAATTTCAACCAGTTTTTATTTCCTAATTTCCCTACTACCGAAGCTCCCAGGAAGGGATTCTTCAC